TTCGGACCGTACCATCGTAAAAATGTAGTAAACACATCAAAATACGATACTAAAACCTACTGAGTCCTCCTGAGGCTCAGTGCGGTGTATTTATTCTTATATTTGATTGTCTACTTGGTCTACAAATAATTCACCTCGTGTGAATTAATTGGAAACTAATTCTAACTCCACACTGATAGTGGTTTAAGGGGACTTTTACTACAAAGCGCCATAGACCTCATGACGCCGATGGGTTCGCCTGCCCGGGGAATCAACAAATGATTCCGTTCAAGACACGTTCTGACGTTGGGGGCGTGTACGCACTCTCGTGGGCGTTTTTGAACCTCTGGTGTAACCCTCCCTGGTATGACCTCGAGAGGGTCTTCCTCAAGGTCGTCGCCGACAGAGCGCGTGGTATTACCATCTGCTGTCCTTATATGCCCAAGGCCGATTGGTTCCTTCTAGTGCCGGACCTACTCCTAGCCCAGTAGATTGTTATCCCGCCTGTCAACGGTGTATTCCTCCGTTATGGGTATGAGGCGGTGGGACCCCCAACATGGGGCGCAACCCTGATTCTTCGCATTGGCTACACGGCGACCGATTTTAGGGTTCTGGCAAGCTGTCGACCGCATCTCTCGCACCCCAACTTCTACACCGCATCCCCTTCGTCGTGCACGTACGTCCACCTCCGCTACTGTCTGGCCAATTGAGTCCTTTACGGAGATATTTGCCCCACCGAGGGTTGCCCTTCCTCTTACCACTAGTTCAGCAGAGATTCCGGATGCTCGAGATATCATATCGCATACTACCATCATATGAGAAGGCGAAGCAGAGCTCTTCGGTGACATAGATACCCGTCGTGTGTCCCTCTGGTGCGGCGCCTGGACAGAACATTTCGCCCTCGCCTATTCTCCTCCCTTCGGTCCTGTCGGTCACCCCTGCCGAGGCTAATTATGACAAAGGTCGCCACTATGTTAGGCATCTCCCCACATACGTATCGGGGTCAACAGCTAGATTGGCCACAGGTGGATTGTATTGTTGAGGCGGTGCATGAAGTTTACATGCATGCTGGAGCCCCTACCTAAGGTTGAACGTGCTGTCACGTTTCTTTACGGTTGAGCCGGCCTTCGTATGGTCATCTGCGCCATACTAAAGGGATGTCATATCTTTCAACATTTCGCTTCCCGACCTTCCAAGGAGCACGGCTTCCTTCAGCAGCCTCACCGTACACAGGTATTTCCACGCCGATTTTGCACACTTCCCGAAAGCACCGGACGGCAAGGGATTAGTCCTGATCGCAGTCTGTGAAGCCGCCGGCATGGTGTTTGTCCGCCCTTCATCGACGAAATCGGGCGCCCAGTGTATTGACTTCGTCTGTGAACAACTGTTCCCGTGGGGTGTCCCTACGGAGTTTACACCACACTTCACTGGGGTTGACCAGCATCAAGGTAACGGCCAGGCGGAGGTCATGGTCAATATACTCAAGGCGTGGGTGTACAAGGCACGAATCCCTACAGATCAGGTGTGTTGGGTTCGCCTTGTTCACGCATTTGCGCAATCTTACAACGCGCTGGTGTCCTCCGTCACGGACGCAGCACCCTACCCTAAGGCGACTGGCCGGCCTTACTCTGGCCCTCAACTCCCTATGTTGGAAGACCGCGTGTTGCACTTGCTTGAATCCAAGGCCGGTGAGCCAGAGATCCTCGCGTTGGATCTTAGTGAAGCCTTCACTGCCCATGCGCAGGAGGCCCAGAAAGCAGCTGCGGACAAGCTCCGCCTGGACGTGCCGCCATTACGCGAAGGCCAGCAGGTAATGTCTATGGCACAGTTCCGCCGCCATACGCTTCGTGATCAAACTACGGACAAGGAACTCACGCGCCATCGCGCGCAGTTGAAGAAGTATTTTCCCCGCATTGTGGACGGACACTCTAGGTGCATACGAGCAGTGGCTGTTTTGTGAGTCACCGTTAGCATCTGCACCTGCCGACGAGCAGCAGCGCGTTTTCTACTTGATGCGAGCTTTGCCGGAAGGCAGTGGTTGGCGTAACCGCATCAACTCTCCGTTCGGTATGCTTCGCGACTACTTTGCGGACACCAACACCGTCCCATCATACTTCCTTGATGCAACCCTCGTTGCTGCCCTTAAGACGCATTGGCCCTCGACGGTAGCGAGCGCACGGCTATCTAGCATCAAGGTGCTCTCGATCTCGCCAATAATCCTACTAGGCGTACCATGCGCATGGCCCAGTGGCGTGCGTCCATGGCGGCACCTATCAACCTTGACCACCTGCCCATCGAGCGTCGTCACCCGGGATAATTCCGCCCGCAGCTTCATCACCAGTGTGTTTCGTGGTTCCACGTGAAACCGTTCACTATAAAGTACACTACTTTTCTCGTCTACTGTACCATCGGTGGTGGATCCCATCTTCGCACGCATCCAACCTTCCCTTGTATGTTGCGCATTCCTTCGGTTGCTGTATCTTTTATTCGATCTTCATTGCTTTCCCGTGTATTTGCTTCCTCCTTAATACTTGCTCTCTCCCAGCCTGCACGGCTGCAGGCCTGGACTCATGTTCCATTGTGAGCGGTACCGACTCGACACGCCACTCGAACATCACAGCTTCAGCAGTATCCTATTCAGAGTACCGTGTGTCTCCTATGTCTATTTTATGGCATCCTAGTTGGTGGGTCTTCGGCCCACCACTCTTTATGCTGTCGCTGGCAGCTTACTTCCTTTCCACTTCACTGGCCTCGACCTTTGCGCCACATTAATCGATAGTACTGTGCGTGGCGACTGTCAGTCACGCTAGTTGTGTTTGCATTTCCCTCCTAAGCACCTAAAACTGTCGTCCCAAGTTGTGTACAAATCTTTATTTATTTTCACAATTGTTCGCCGGTTGAGGCATGTAAGGTGCCTCAGCTTAGTACCGAACTTCTACAGGGTTACGAAACCCTAAGGACAGAAACTTCAACCCTAGAAAGTGCAGACTCACTCTGAACCGCACATGTTTGGAATAATGTGACTTAGGGTGAGCCCATATATACGTCACACGGTATGGTGACCTAGGAGTAGTCTACACATTACTGACAATTTCCAAGGTGAAAGTTCAAGTGTAGATTTGGGCTTTCGCGTCTTACAATTTTACAGAATATGAAATTTTAAATATGGAGCAAAAACGAAGACCCACATGGGCTATAACCAGCAGTCCAGCACACAGCCACACACATGCATAGTTTTAAATTTGTAGCATAGTATAGTATTAGCTGAACAAGTTGAGGTGTAGCACCTAGTAAATCAATAGGTCAAGGCGACAATCAATCAACATGTCAGACAAGGAGAACCTAAAGGCCATATATAGCGCTACTGACCGGAAGTTATGTTTGGATCTAGCAGTCAAGCAGTGGACATTGTCATCAGATGATTCAGCAACATGCAAACTATGCAACGCTATTGTTCTCAATTCAGCAGCCGCTAAGAAAGTAAGGGCGTGGTCGCGTCGAACAACGAACAACGCTCTCACACACACTAAGAGACTAGTCATAGAAAGGCCTGGTATGATATTTTCAACGAAGAAAACGCTAAGGTAACGGATACGGCGTAAAGCCCAAACAATGTACCATCTGCCTCACATCTGTCATTCTCGTACGCCAAGTCCAAGACGGACATACAAGGGACCATATTGGCATGTATTGACAACATTCCCATGGCATTAGCTGAAAAGCCAGTATTTAGAAGTTGGCTTAATAGCGAAAGCTGTAGTGGACGTGACTACTATTGTATACCCTACTAGCAAACCACACCCTCAGAACCGCAGAGACCACAGTGACACCGAACGCGAACCACTCCTAACGCATGACCATACACACGAAAGTGATTACTTTGACGCTATAACGCTCAATCCCTACCACCCTTCTTCGGAATCTAACGCGTCCGGTCGTTTTGGCACGAATAAGCCACCCCTCAACGAGACGATTACCTTGTTCTTTCACTCATACCCAACCCGACATGTACGGCCCAATACACTCAGATAGCTGCATATGCCGCCAGGATGATCACCGCATGTGGTAGACCTCGTAAATCTTCTCTCGGCCGCGCCAGTAACTCGGGTTACCGTAGAGGGTGACCGCAACGACTGCCACTTCTTGCAGCGTGATACCAGCTCCCTACGTGGACGATTCTACGACCGTCACAGGTCCCCCTGGCAACCACGGGACAACAAGTACGAACGGGACACGAGCCAACACTTTTCGTGCCGTGATACACGCTACGCTACAGGCCGACGTCAGTCGCAAGACTCAACACGTGCCGATATCCCAACCTGTCCTAAGCATGCCACTTCCATCACTCTGACAAGCTGTGTGTTATCTGCCATACCTGTGAGCAGACCGTGCATTACTCTCAACCTGTCCCAATATGTTCACCTCAGCGACAGCGACCATCACAAAACCTGCTGAGGACATTATGCCACTAATCACGGGTGTGAATATCATACAAGAACATTGACGAGAGATAAGAACAGTGACTGTACATGTCAAGCCCCTTTCGACACTACCACATCCTCCGATAACTGACGCTGTCCTCACCACAGTCTACAAATTATCTAATAACGACGACGAAGATGAACTACAGAGCTATGACCGCGACATGCGTCATGAACACGAACCACCACCTATTATTACTGAACCTGTGTACGAACATTTAGCCAGGCAGACAACAAAACATATCACAAAATGAACGGGTCCGGTGGTACAAGCAGTTTGTGAGCAGGACAATCTTCTAGTCTATGTTGACATCAGTTCTAAACCGACCATGCTACTCACATCATCTGTAGAGAAATTCAACTTCAGGTTCTACTAGTTTTGCCAGTTTATTTATAAGGCTTTGGAAGAGATGGTCAGACTATCCTGAACCAACAGATACAGCTACCCTACTGTTGAATGTGCTACTTTCACCTTTTATAAAACCAAGCCGGTAGACTTCTTTGTTTCCGACTGGCTGGCACGAGAATGTGAGGCTCTCTTACATTAGTTTCGACCACTTCCAGAAGAATCTCATAGGGATCTCCTTGAACCAGTCTGACAATACATCCGGCCTGTCTACGACTTAAGGAAGGGCCCCTGAACCGGTACGTCAAATCTACACAACAGCACCCGGAATCCGGTTCTCCAAGCTTTTGAAACCGCCAAGATGACCCAAAAGGATAAAGATGAGAAGACGGGCGAATGCGATAAGTACAGTCAGTGGGTCAGGTTGGTCTGGATTGCTCAGAAAGATTCCAAGGTGACGCCAATATGTGTCGACCAGACCATCAAATATGTTCCTATTAGCCTGTGGCTTCACCGCTTCCCATACTAACTCCCCGTTAAAGCTGATATGGCGGAGCACAACTCTTAGGAGCGCTATGGTACAATCAGCGCCTGACCTCGCCGCATCGTATCATCAGCTACTCCTCCGTCTCGACTCCGGAGCTATTTACATAAAATTCACTACGGCTGATGGGCGATTCCGTTCACCGCGCTGCCTCATGAAGGAAATCGAGAATGGGTGCTATGACTTGCAGTGTTACATGGACACAACCTTTCGACTCGTCAAGGCCTTTAAGTATTACCTGAATGATGACAAACTAACCTTCATAAGGCAACCCAGACAATCCCGGAGGCGCTGAACGACCACTGAAACAACCTCTTTCGGATAGTCCGCATCGGTCTTATGAAAAACCCCGCAAGTGCCAGTGGACAGTGTCAGTGAATTGAGCCATTATCTCCTTTGGGCGCAAGAACACTCGCAACACCTCTTTTGTTTGACAGAAAAGATCATTCGCAACACTTCTTTTATTTGACAGACCAGCGCCAAATAACAGGCCGGAGCTTATGAGCGAAACATATACCTGCGTACGATATTCAAGCGGCGGTACTATCCGACTTAACACGCAAAGGTGCTGTGTTCAAGTGGAAGACCACCCACGGGACCGTCCATACTTATCTCTTCTCAGCTGTGGCTCTGCAAATCCGCATCTGCCACCCACTACCCCACCAGCAATTGGGAGGTACACCGGACGCAAACAATTTGTGTATTGGAGCCGGCGTATTTGTCCAAATGCCACCCTCGGGTACTCATGAATGGGAAGCGGAACAAACGGTGATACATGAGTGCAATGAGTACCGTGCTAGTTTTATCTTAACCCCTGTCCCAAACCACCCCCAAGTACCGCGTCTAGCGCTAATAGAAGGAGAGGCGAATGAAGATTTTGCCCCTCGTTGCAGCAACGCTGCAATTAAAGGCGAGCCGGTACCGCTATCAGCCTTCGCTGAATTTCCCTGAGTAGCGTGTGGACGAAGTACCCTAGGCGGATATTTAGGACCGGACCTGAAGACCGGACCTGTGAGAGGAATTTAGGACCGGACCAGAGGACCGGACCTAGAGATTATTTTAAGATCGGGCCAAAGGACCGGACCAATTAGTGGAATAGAAAATTTAACGAGATAGAAGTGATGACTCATCCGAAAACACAGAGACTGGTATTTCCACATTACCGTATGGTAGAGAAAGTCTTGTTCCTCATAGGATCTCACATCTTGATTCTCGTACGATGTTGCGGTACCGGTCAATTCTTATTAAATTGATGATAGTGCAACCAGATATGGCTGACGATTGTGACTTTGAGAGCGAACATCAACATGGGGCTTCAACCGAACTACGTCTTATATGGATAGTGTTATGTATTTATTGGATAGACTATTCTATGTATACATGCACATCAGGCTTCATATTCGTTGTAGAGGCTCTGGAAAAGTTAGAGGGAAGTGAAGATTGTCGAACTGCCGCGAAAAGCTCGAGGCAAGCGATGCAACGATGGAAGAGTAACGGTGCGTTAATTCGCGACGATAGATACAGAACATCTCTACCATTGTGTGGATGATAAAACTTGTGTGCCGTTGTGTGATATAAAGCTGGCCTACACTCGTAGTGGTAATATGTACTAAGTCAGTCAGAGTATTTTTGAAGGTGATACCAAGAAGGGTGAAGTTGACATCCGCAATTCTGTTTCGAAGCGAAGTTGGAGACTGTCCGATACTATACCACACAACTGACATATTTTTTAGCAGCAGAGTGATGAGACGGGGTATGGGGAACATCAATCTATTGGCCAGTACTGGATGGGGATAAATTGGTACCCGCTGTTCATGGAGAAGGAAGCTACCGATGTGTTCGGGGAAAGTCCACATGCCGTGGTAGTCATGCCGATTCTGTGGTTGCTGTAGTAAGTCCGATTAAATTGGCGGTAGATTAGGGCCCACCAGAATATTCCTTATTAGGAAACTGACACAAGCAAAGTAGCTGGAAGTAAAAATCTCATCTCCGGGGCACACTGAACAGAAGCATCCATCAGTACGATAGTCAAGCAATTCGTACAGGAACGTGTT